CCTTAGCAAAGCGCATCCCAGGCTGCATAGCCGCACTACCCTACCCAACCATACCACACATAAACATGACACTACCCCCGGGGTTTACACAGACGAGCCGGCGAAGCAAGAAGAGCGCCAGAAGAAAGGGCCCTAGCCGGCGGGGCCCAGCCAGGACAAAAGGAGGTCCCACAAAGCGCCTACACCGGCCGCATTTGCGGTCGGGGTAGACGACGGATGGGCCTAAGGGCCACCTTAGCAAAGCGCATCCCAGGCTGCATAGCCGCACTACCCTACCCAACCATACCACACATAAACATGACAAGCCAATTTCTAGCCATGGAATAATGGCGCGACTGCAAGAATAGTGCCAGAAGAAAGGGCCCTAGCCGGCGGGGCCCAGCCAGGACAAAAGGAGGTCCTACAAAGCTCCTACACCGGCCGCATTTGAGGTCGGGGTAGACGACGGATGGGGCCCACCTACGAAGGCTGTCCAGGCCTACACGAGATAAGGCAGGATAAAGAGGGATAATCCCCCTCGATCTCAAATCATTGAGGCCAATTTCTAGCCATGGAATAATGGCGCGCGCGCGTGTCGCGCTCTAGTTTGTGATCTAAAAAGATTTGCATGGTGAAGTCATTGCTCCATACTCTTCATGATCCAAAATCTCTTGGAGCATAGATTAGTGTCTTGGAGCCACTAGGTCTACTAGGAGTAGCATCAATAGCATCTAACGAACAGGGCTTACATTGTTCGAAGTTAGAATAGACAAACACGGTACGGTACGACTTTTCTGAGTACCTGTTTTTTTCAATCCGATACTCGATTTGTGAAGGAGTCTGGTTAACACGATCCCACCGATCCCATTATTAGGATGGGTTCCTTCTACAATCAATAAATTTGTAAATGTCTATTGCTTATCTCTATATTTTTTTCATAAACGCAAAACCCAGATAAACTCATTCTAATTCTATATCAAAGCTTTATTAAAATAAAATAAAGTAGAATAAAAGAAGACTTTATTTTCCTAGAATACAAATTGTTAAATAATATTGTTTCCGTTAAGTATCCATTGTACTATTTAACTCATTTCTCACAGCTTCAGCGGCTTCGTGCATTTCCAGTCCTTCCAATATATACAAAAGGTTGTCTAAAGTGGCATCTTCGTCATCCTCAAACCATATTTGCAACAAATTCCTAGCCTGTTCAAATTCTGTAGGATTCTCATTTTTGAAAAATTCTATTTCGTCTGGCTTGTATCCTAAAAACAAAATATTAAGCTAAACAATTGGTTTTCTCAATAAATATTGATATAATTTTTAAATAGCTTACCGAGCTTGACAGCAAGTTTTTCCCAGTCAGGAGATATCTTTTGGCTAAAATACAGTAGCTGTTGTACCGTAATCTTATGATCTTGCCTAGGATTACTGTCATCGACAAATTCTTCTTGGTCATTCTGTTTAAGTTCTTCGGTACCCTGCTCCTCCTCTGTAAGAAAATTATCTATTTCCGCATCATTCTGACCCTCCTGGCTATTCTCTTGGCTTTTTCCAGGTCTTTCATGGGCTATTTTCCGGACCATCATCTCCAAATATGACGACAAGGGATTCATAATCGTGGTACTGTATGTGAAGAAATGTGGGCTGCGCCTTGCGAGTAACCTCAAGGCTCTCCAACCGAAATTTCCATCTTTCAAGAGAATTTCTTCGTCTTTAACAGGTTTTTCCAACTGCTCTATTGCCTCACTGAAGTAGTCCTCTAGAGATGGCAAAAAGTCCCTTTCTTTGCCTTTACACGCTTCCAAATTATTAGGGCAGAGGTTCCACAGTTTCGTTAATTCTCCACTTGAAGAAGAAAAAAATTTAAATAATAAATTTGGCAAAATACAATAGCTCTTATTATTCAAGATATAAATAAATTATTCATATAAAAGTCAGAGTAAATAAAAAGTACTGTATTATAAAATTATTTTGAAATGTGTGATGTATGAAAGTGTTGTGGTTTAGAAATTGATATTTTTTTAATGAAACAACTTATACACGGTGTCACTCTAAATTCTATGGCTTTCTAGCAACTAATAATTTTTGATAATCAAATTTGCCACCAAATTTTTTTTGGTTCCGAAGACAAGGGGGCCCTCGAAAAAGTGTATTAAGGTGGTTTCTCGCCAAATGGCGTAGCACTCTCAGATTCCACATGTCATAAAACCCCTCTGTACCGAATTTAGTGATTCTTGTACAAGAGGTTTCTGAGATATAAAAAGACTATTCTTTGGGGCAGATTTCAGGGGCTGTAACTCCGAAAGAGGAAGCCACTTGGCAAAAAGAAAAAATACGAGTCCGCTAAATTTGTCTTAAAAATCTATGACCAAATTTTGTTGCATTAATTTCGGGACACCCTGTATACTGTATTGCAGCAACAATAATGCACATAAAAATTTCGGACCACTTTTATTTTGAAGAGAATCTCAAAACAAACCTATTTTTCCTTTGACTATTTTCTCTAATGTCAATGTCAATATTCTCCGAACTATACATGAAAGAAGGGAGAAAAATTTACCTTTTTACATTTCTTTTTTACATTTTCTTGCGTTAACAATTATGCACAACTTTTTCAGCGGGTGTATATCAAAATTTTCATTTTACATAATATTTAGAACTACTTCCAACAAAAATTAGCGTTACTATATGAAACATTCATACAACCTACTTTTAAAACAGATACCGATTGGACTAAATATCATTACACCTGATATGATAGCAGGTTGCTAGATGGGTAAAAAATAAATGAGCAATGTTAATTTGGCAAAATGACAATGAATATGTCATCCTTTGTTTGAGTTTTTAGTTTAGTAGTTTATGAAAAGATTTTTTAATACGTTAGGTAATTTTGTAACTTTCTGATGAACTATTAGTTTTTACTAGAATCGAAATAGAATTTATATAATGCAGTGCTGTTTTAAGTTAACCTTTATAGTAAAACTTAAAGTGGTACTTACTGGTGTCTTATATAGTGTAACTTTATAAATTATAAAGTTATTGGTTTGTGTTTAGCGAAGAAAATTATTTAAAAGGTTCAAAGGTTTTCACCATGAAATTTGTGTTTTTAAATGTCATAAATAAGACCCCCATTCAAAATTATATCTTGCATGTTTTTAATATTTGAATAAGACAGACATACCTACTAACGGAACAACGGAAAAATTAAATTAAGAATTACTGATAACAATTATAAAAATTTAAGTTTAAAAGATTTACCTGCCCATATAATATCTGCCTTGACTATTAGCTTCTTTTATAATATCCCCCAATAATGGCTTTTTGGTCTCGCTTGTTTTTTTTTCTGATTCTATTGAAGTGGATTGCACCTTCTTTATTTCTACAGAATTAAAACCGATAATAACTAATTTACTGATATGTATTATTTCATGTTTATTTTACCTGGACAACCATCATTTTTCCATGAGTTCCACAACTCCTCTCTGGCCAAAATATTCTTCACTATTTTTGCAAATTTTTCTCCGTCCGGTGGGGTTTCTTTTAATAAATTGTACACTTTTTCTGTTTGATTTTGTATCCAATCTTTCTGATCAGATTTTAATTCATAACTTTCACTAAAAAGAGTATTTTAGGTCATTATAATAAGATGTAATTCATATTTTCTTTTGATACTTACGATTTAAACTTAACCGTAGATATTAAATACTGAAACACTATTAAAAACTGAAGTAAGACTGATCTTCGGAAGTTAACATCGTGCAACTGTAAGTCTAATAATTTCTGACTCGTCAAATATTTTGCAAAATATCCAACAGTTGTATTATTGTCAGAAGTAACATAATCAAGTTTTATCCCTTGAAATGTATTTAATATAGTAGAAGAATGCTAAAAAATAATAAACTTGTTTGAAAGATACTAGTACATATAGTACCTAAATTATCACCTTAATCATAAAATTTAATTACTTACCGAACAAAATAGTTTCCACTGTACTTTTGTATAGCACTGGTTAGGATTTCTAAAAAAATCTTGCAACTGCCAAAATTTGCAATAAAACGTGAAATCAATAACATGTTTTTCACTTCCTGTTTGTATTTCTGTAATTGCATCGTCAGATGGGTCGGTTCCATATTCCGTTACATTTTCTAAATTAAATTCTCTTACAATATTTAGTCCAGATCTTTCCGAAAATGGGAAGAACTTGGCTAAGAATAAGAGTATTTTTCCACAAAAAACTGTTGCAGTGGTGCGTGATAATCGTCTCAATAAATCATTACAAAGTCTTAGTAAATTATTTTTACAACCGGTGAAAAATAAGTCCTCTTTCCAAACATGTACATTTTGTTCAACAAAATTGAACATATCCTCACAAGTGTCTAAAGTTAAGGTTTCAAAGATATCACCAAGAAGAATAACTGGCATAGTAGGGCTGCTGAGTCCTTTACGACATGAATGTATAGAGAATTCAACAAATTGTTTCAGTTCTTCAACATCTACTTGTTCTTCAAGAAGTTTCAGTAAAATATCTCTAAAAGTCTGATCTAAAGGAGACTTGAGATCTATTTCAGTTTTATTTAAAGACTTTACTTTTTGTTCTAATATATCTAAGTTCTTTGCTTTAAAAGACTTTTGTAGAACGTCCTGAAATTCATGTCACATTTGATAATTATTCAATAAAGACATTTACAAATTAAGTCTTACCTTATACTCGATTCGAAGTGTTTCAAAATTCCACTCCATTTTACAAACATCAAATTATTATTTTATATTAGTATTCTTACGTTCTAATCCTGTTATTAAACAAACGACGCTAAAGATTAAGGTTAATTTATATATTTTCTTCTACCTCTTCCGAACAATCTGAACTATGTTATTCACTTCTTCTTCTTCCAAATAAATTAAATTGGTGAAAAGAGTTTAATGTAGAAAATAGTTTGGCTTAATAGTTAATTAAAATACACCGGCCGCATTTGCGGTCGGGGTAGACGACGGATGGGGCCCACCTACGAAGGCTGTCCAGGCCTACACGAGATGAGGCAGGATAAAGAGGGATAATCCCGCTCGATCCCAAATCATTGAGGCCAATTTCTAGCCATGGAATAATGGCGCGAGTTAATTAAAAAATTTTTTTAAAGTTATTTAACACAACTTTAGAACAATTAAAATCTATATTAATAAGTGAAAGTGAAGTAGTATGAGTGAATATTTCAAACATATTTTCGATATTAGAGTTAACCGGCTTGGTTTCAAATCAAATCACCAACACACAAAAACAAAAAATTCCTCTTTTTACTCAATGCTCAATGACGGATCCGCAAGCCGGCAAATGTCAAAATTGTAAACAAAACAAATCGAACTATTGCGGTTGGGCTACCCTTTGTAATTTAATATAAAAAAGGTATAGGAGTGACAAAAGGCTTGCATGTTTATTCAATAAATTTAATAACCGCATTGTTGACGTATGCTTTTCAACACCTAAGGTGTGAGTAATCAATACTGACATGGAAACAAAAACTGCTTCAAGTTTTTGGTGGTTGAAATCTGCCCCTTTGACTACAGAAATTCAAGACAGCGAAAATAACCTTGTAGTTCCCAAGCTAGACCTACATTCTTCTAGTTCGATAGCCAATTTGTTGGATAAAGACAAGAACAGTAATTGTGATTCCGAAGTGGATGTAGGAAGTATAATCGAAGAGATTAACAGGGTTGCTGCACAGAGCCCTTTGGGTCCTTATGAGAAAAGTGTAGGGGATAGAAGTATTGATGATATTATGAAGGAGGCAGAAAGAATCTATATGGAAAGCTCAAAGAGCTTTGAACAGCTTAGCCAGAGAAGCAAAACTTCTCAGAATATAAGTGATTTACTCTCTAATATGTCAAAAGATTCTACCCCTACACCAAAAAGTGTGAGCCCTCTTCCAATTGACCCAGATCCTGAATATAACAGTGAAAGTGATGATGATGAGTATACTACAGATTTTTCTGAAGAAAGTAAAGTGGAATCTAATCCGTCCCCTATCGAAAAAACTGATAATCAGAAATTTACTGATTTTGATGAAGCTAATAAAAACACATTACCCTCTAAAGAGAGTAAAGTAGTGTCTTCCGAAGACGAAGTTAAAAGTGTTAAAGAAACTGTTGAAGATGAGAGGTCTCTAAGCATTTCTAAATCAAACCTTTCAGTAAAGAATGTTCCAATTTCTCAGCAGGGTAGTGTAAATAATACATTTGAAAAAAGTGAAAATTTTCTCGATGTAGTAACGACAGAGAAGTCTAAACAGGTTTTGGTTAGTGATATAGATAGTGAAAGACTTCAGAGACTTAATGAAGTAATTAATTTAAAGAATGATTTAATAAGAACCTTAGAAGATGACAACAAATCTTTGAAAAGCGACATTCATGAAGTTAAGGTGAGTAATTTATTAATATACTTATCTATATAGTTTTTTCTACAATTTGTTTAAGTATGCAACAAATACATTTTATTTTTTAGCCCACAATTGTAAAATAGATAGAGTAATACAAACTGTTTCTGAATTCCGATAGCAAATTGTGTACGATACACACACTATGTGTAGTTCTTAATAAAATACAGTTGCAAGCAATTGCACAAAATTAACGTTTTCTGTTGGATTTAGGATTTAGTAAAGCTTTCTCATGCACAAAATTATTTTATTATGTGCCCTATAATAATAGGAATAAAGATGTTCTGTCTGATGATTTTAGATAGTTTAGTTACTTGAGTGTAGTTAGCCCCCAAAGTTAGCCCCCAAAACTAAATTAATAAAAATAAATATCTAACAATTCTATGATCATCTATGATTGTACTACAACCAAATTTCACCCACAAATTTACTTGTCCGGTCCGGGGGTGGAAATGGCGCGACTTATAAAGTTAGCCCCCTATTCTTGCTATAACTGTCCTGGGACCCGGACAAGACGAAATGACCTAAGGAATAGTTGAAAGAGGTGTACTGTAACGCATTTCCACCATCAAAATGACTTGTCCGGTCCGGGGGTGGAAATGGCGCGACTTACAAAGTTAGCCCCCTATTTTTGCTATAACTGTTCTCGGACCCGGACAAAACGAAATGATCTAAGGAATAGTTGAAGGAGGTGTACTGTAACGCA